TTTCGTCGCCCGCATTTGTCGTAATCTCCGACGTGGCGCCGAAATCAACTCGCTCGTCCGCCCCAAAATACCTCGGCAAGCACAGCCCCGCTCTCAAGCTGACTTTTTATTCTTTGACTCGGCAGCTATTGGAGCATAAAAAAAAAAAAAAAAAAAAAGAAGAAGAAAAGCAGCGCAAACGAAAGCAGAGCGTAACAGCTTCCTCCTCTTTACGCATAAATTTTCCGCAACAGGCAACAGCGGCCCGAGCGCTTCCTGCCGAGGGAGGGGGGAGGACCGAGTCAGCGCTTTTCCGCTGCAATGCCGCGGAAGCTCGTGTTTTTTTTTTTTTTTTCACCCCCTCACGGTAGCTGTTCCTCTTTTTTTGTTCCCTCTTCCCCCTTTTGCGCGGACGGTCCGTGTCGACCTACAGCCCTGCTTTTCAGGGATGACCGCGTGGTGAAATTAACGCTCCGGGGGACAGGAGTTTCCACGGTGACGTAATCAAGTACGGCCTCGTCATTTAGACGGGGGGAGAGAATTTGTTTATCCTCACCGTTTTCCCCCCTCCCAATAAAATCAATTTATATCGATGATGCGCTTCAATATTACTATACATCATACCACGGAATGGCAACTCTTTGCGAAAAAATGCAATACCCACGAAACAGAGATTAAACGCGACAGTTGCGCGCGTATGGAAATTAACTAAATTTTCCAAATTACCTCCACTGCAGCGAAGAATTTTCAGCGGAAAACGTTGCATAACAGCGCAAACAAAAAAAAAATCGACAATTCAAAGAGTGTATAGTTGTGTACAAGAACTAAGGCGCAGAGTAAGTTGTTCGGAGAATTCTCGCTATGCTTATAAACGCGGTTCATTAGCACTTGGCGCCCGACGAGTAGCGCTGCAGTTAAAAAAGCAATCATTTTCGATGGCCGGCGCTGCACTGGTAATGGCACGTATTTATATTTTTCCCCTCTTCTTTTGTACTCGTTTCCTACCTCCCCTCCCGAGGAAATAACTCGATCGAACGAAGCCGCGGCAGTTTGTATACTTCCACCGGTGAAAATCAAGCCCCGTGAATTTAATTGCGCGCAGCTGCTCGAGTGAGACGGCGACTTTGCCGTTGTGGGGCGAAAGATGCCTCTCACACTGTACAGGTCCCACTTCTCCGTTGGTTGTGCTGTACCATACATCTACACAGTATACGTGCATAGAAAAAAAAAAAAAAAAAAAAATCACAACCAAACCTCGAGGCGAGCAAAAATTTAGTTATTTGCGCGGAAAGGCATACATCCCGATCGTTAAATTCGAACACCACCTATGTTTACTCGTTAAGCCGATTTTTTTCTTTTTTTTTTTTTCCAGAGCTGTGATTTTAGTACAAACGCAAAGTATAAATCACAGGGCCAAAGGTCTAATTGACGCGCAGCCCTTTCACCCGATGGGACACACGCATCGGTATATAAATATACAGCCGCACATGCTTTACAAAATACACGCTCGAAAAGCACATATACCGGTATTTGGCTCTTCTCTCTCTCTCGGCAATCATATATACGTGATTTGTGTGCAAAGAGCCAATTAGCCTTATACATATGCACCTATACCTGCGATCGCGTCTAAAATGCCGCTGATGGTTGGGCGGCTCGATGGCGCGTTAAACCAGCGAGGCGGCCTTATAGCGCGGCCGTTTAGTTTTTTCGATGGCACCGCCAACGGGTGTGCCTTTTTGTTTTTACTGCTGGGCCGTACGGTGTTTCTGCGTGTGAATTGGCCGGTCTGGTGTGCTTTTGGTGTTTTTTCAACTGACGTTGTGGGATCGGCCTTTTTATTTTGCGATGCGCTTGTGGCTTTCGACGCGACTCTGCTTCACGTGGGGGTGAACGATCCGAGGATCTGTGGCACTCACTTGTGGGCGCTGTACACACACGGGTGCGTAGTACGCCTATTTATTGTATTTTACGGAGGGACTAGAGCGATGTCTCTAACCACACGAAAGGGCGACAATTCATAAGCAGTTGAATCAATTATTGCCGTATTTTTTATAGAGAGTTGATTTCGTTTGGCCTTTCTCTCGTCGTTTGTGCAGTGTGTTTTATATCCGGCTATCGTCATATATAGTAAATACGTAACAAGTTGCGCTCGTCGGTATTTTTTTTTTTTTTTTTTTTTTTTTAGCGAGTGAAAGCTATGTCAATGCGCGCACGTCGTATTGAATATGATGTATATGCCCGTGAGTTTTGTTACCTGTATACTCTCGCCTCGCGCGAGTGTTTGGTTGACATTTATTATACTCTAGCGGATGATTTTGGCGTTTCATGCCAATTGGGGTACAATGGTACAGCACGAGCTTTTCCACAGTGTATACAGTTTGTGGCATTATACTTTTGAGTTTGTTGTAGTTCAAAAACAATAGGCCAAAGGTCGCGTGGACTCGTAAACAAGAATACCTGCTGATTTTTCATCGTCACTGAATGCGAAAACGATGCAACTTTGTTCATCGAGTCTCTCACCTTCGGGCACTTTGTGAATTTTTGTCCCAGTTCAGAATCCCACTCCTATCCTGTAATGAGGTAAAGAAGAATGTGTGGCATAATATTATATTTTATTTGTGATGCCTACGTAAATAACGGTATACGTGATAACATTCTTTTTAAAAATACCCTTTTTCATACTCATTCAAACTTACAGTCGTGGGTGTATGTATGAGAGTATACAAAGAATTTCTGAAAAAATTATTTTTCGGTTGGAAAAAAAAAAAAATTGTATCTCGTGGGATTGCACTGGCAAAATGGTGCAGTCGATTAATTGTGTAAGACAGTACGTAGATATGGATTAATTGATGCTTTATTGAATCGAATGAAACAAATGAACAAGACGCTTAAAGTGTCCGAGTTGCAATGAAATCTTCTACGTCTATACAGTTGAGCAGATAACAACGCCAAACAAAATAAAAAAATCGGAAAGACGAGCCGAGACATCAATTGCGCGTAATAATACGTCCGTTGAGTGACAGTGTGGCCTATTATTTATAATTTCGTCGCTCGTGCCATGAAAATCTGAGTTCCGTGAAAGGGTGTAATAAAGAGTTTATGGGCCCACTGTGCGAGAAAGTAAAAGGAGACTTGCACTCGTCCGATTTTCCTTTTTCCACAGCCCCGAGTTACCGCGTATAGTTGCGGGCCTCATTTAACTTCCTAATGTATATAACAAACGACGGCAAATAATACCTGTACATGTGCACACAAAAGAAAGGCACGCGATCGTGATTGCACGGGTGACCAGACGAATTTGTCTTTTTTGTTTTTTTTTCTTCTTCTTTTATTAGCATAGTCAATAAAAAGAAGAAAATGCATGTATATTAGGCTCGTCGCGCGTGCGAGTGATCGTACGAGCGAGATTTATTGGGTGCAGTCGCGGTCGCGCCACATAAAGCGCGATAATACCGCTGACGCGGGTATTTTGGTTTTCGAATTTCGGGAAATGGCTCGTGGCCATTTTATCTACTATTTTGCATTGCTGTATAGATACTCATGATTATTAAAATTCATCCGCGGTCCCTCAGTCAAGTACAACGCAACTGTTCCCACATACTGCTTGAGACGAAAAAAAAAAAAAAAAAAAAATCGCGTAGAGAAACAGAAAGTGAGAGATGACTCGGCAGAAGGTACTTGGAAATCGTCGGGCGACTTTGGAGCTGGTATTGTTATGTACACACACTTTTGGGCTCTCGAAGTGCACTTTTTGTTTCTCCGGTAAATTTGTACCTTCAACAATGCGGCCCTCGGTCATTCATTCAAATTCATTCCACTGAATATAAAATCGATCAAAAATTCACCAAGCAAGTGAGCGATGCATTCGATTTGTGGATGATTAGTGGACTAGTTAATTTTTTAGCGCCATTTCAAAGGATATCTTTAAAGAGTCTCCCCCCATTTCAATTTCGATCTTTCTTTTTCAAAGCCTGTGGTATTTTTTTTTTTTTCACTTTCATTGTAGCATCGTCTGATGCGGATTACGCGCATCCAGTCACTCGAAACAGCAGCCACTGCCCGGCAACCACAAGTGTTGATTTATGCTAATGGCGAAGAAGAAGAAAAAAACGTCGAATGCATAATAAAAATGATGCGTAGCTATTTTGCTTCGATGTTCCATGATCCAATGTCATTTTTCTCTCCACTCGACGGAACATCAGAAGAGCAAAGAAGGTTTTCGTTGCGTAATGTGTACGTATGGTGCACTTTCTCGCGGTTATTGCGGACGTGACCGAGGACCCACCTGACGCTTTTGCGTGAGGCCAAGAGGAGAATTTTGGGCACAAGTGACCATTCATGGCCTCTTTTTCCCTCTCCTCTCTCCCATTCGCGTGGGCTTTTAAGGTGTTGACCCTTGCCTTCCATTTTTCTTTCGTCAATGCCCTCTCCTCTCGCGTGGCGCAGCTTTTATTGTTTGCTCCCACTCGACGCGGTCGGGCTGCTTCGAGAAAAGTTCGCGCGTTTGCGCGCGTATCGGGAAAAATGGTCTTTTCGGAAACCCTTGATCCGTGAATTCCGGAAAATCTGGTGTTTGCTCGTCGGCCGAGACGCGGACTTTGACGGGAGACGTACGAGCCGCCAAGCTAAATACTTTTCTCCAAACGAGATCGGTATTGACTCCTCGTATTAACCCAATTGACCCTTTTTAAATGCGACGTACCCAAAAGGCAGTGACCTCTTTTTTTTTTTTTTTTTTTTTTTTTTCGTACATCTATCAAAAATACCGTACTAAAATCGCAATCGTAAAACGATTAAACTGTTCGAAAATATTATCGAAAAGCTTTTCAGTTTTGCTCATACTTGCCCAATAGCGATCCTACGGCAGGTAAGACTTTCCACAGCTGTATTGAATGTGACTATAATTTCAAAGATTTCAAAAGCAAATGAAAAAAAAAAAATATTCACAAGTTGTTACTAGAAGAAAAAAAAAAAAAGTATATCGCACACGATCCATACTCAATCCAGATGATTGTTTCCAGGTAGAGCGCGCGAGCGTCACCAAACGTACGAGCCAATAGGAAGATTCCGGGCAAAAAAGTGAGCTCGGCCAGGGGGAGGAAGCCGCTGGTGAGAAGATGACAGCAGCGTCGTCCCACGCGTAACACGTGCATGTGCACACACGTACCATTGTCCGAGCAGAGTCGTCACCGGCAAACATTACCTGCACCGGCGCGCAAAAACCACCAGGTTTTGGCTTCGGAAGAGGCAAAAATTAAGAGGAGAAAAAAAAAGAAGAAGGAGAGGGAGTCAGGCGAGGAGGAGTCGTCGGGCCGTCTATCTGTCAGTCGGTCGGGGCACGCATAGCCACACCTTGCCCGCGAAAGATACTCCGCGAGATCGGCAAGTTCGCTTGGACCGCGTTGGCATCGTTTTTCATCCGCGTCCAATAGACAAATCATTTTTTTTTTTTTTACAGGAGGCATCGACCTCGTCGTCGGTGTTTCTTTGGGACGATGAACGCGGTGATCGGGCCATCGATTAGATAATCATAGCCACGAGCGTCTACGAAGATAAGAGATCGCGAGGTGGACACCGGCACTCGCGCGTTTCCGTGCTTTGTGAATTAAGTTTTAACATTTGATAGTTGAACTACTCACGTGATTTGGACAGTGGTGCGGTGAAGCTGTTGATTTGTAATTTTACATCATCCGTGCTCGTGACTGAGTCTTCATCCAGTTCACATTTCACCCCGAGTTTTGGCTGATCATGATTACCACGTTGGGCATCAAGGTGGGCATTACATTTTGTTTCTTTTCGATTATCATTTGGGTAGAATAAAAAGTATGGAAACAGCTAACTTTGAATGTCAGTGAACGAACGGCTAAGAATTTTTTCGTAGCAAATGTTTGAGCTCGGTAATTCGCGTAAAAGATCATGCCACTGAATGATTTGAGAAGAAAAAAAAACTATCAATGATTCGACACGTTTTCGTCATAGATTCAACCTGAAATCACACACGTGAGCCCAAACGCACGCGCGCACGGAAAAAACTTATCGCCGATCTGCACAGCGATCCCAATCTTATCGGGAGTCTACGCCAGCCAGAAGAGGTGCACACGATTTTCTCGTGTTTGTACAAAAATCACTCTCACTCTCCGTACCATTCAACTCGAGTGTATCGGTAATACCTTTCACGCTCGGCAATGCCGGTTATAATTGCTTTAGCGGGGCCCTCCTAATCGCCACCGAAGGATGGGACCCGGCGCGTTTCCATACAGCCGGGGCGTGAAAAAATCACGCGCAATTGCAAAGCCAACTCGAGAGTGCGAGCTGCGCTTTTGTCTCTCCGATGGATTCGCCGGTCGCGCGGATGTAGCGCGGGAAAAGAGAGTAAAACGCGGAAATCGACGGGCAATTAGCGCCTCCTTTCTTTCGCGCGATGTGTACATATACGATGTTCGTGTCCAAGGATGGCTATTCCGATACCAAAAGGCCATTGTGGAATCTCGCGTATTGGTTCATTGCACACAGAGCCTCGAGTCTTCCGTACCCTTGGAAGTGTCGTCTCGTGACATTACAATTTTTTCATAACAGCTAAAAGCCCCGTCACAATGACTCTCCCGTATCGATTTCCCATCAAATTGAATAAACTTCGAGAAATTGCCATTCCCTGGACGCGTTGAAGATCTATATGAAGGCGTAGGAAATTGATGGATGTGTGTGTGTGTGTGTACATAATGGTGCGTTCGATTATTTCAGTGGGACAGGGATCCCCAGGAGCTGTGGATCTACGTCGCGTTGATCATCGTTACGCTGGTGGTGTACCTGTTCAAGGACTACATCAGGATATACTGGGTTGTCTCCCGGATGAAGGGCCCTCGCACGGTGCCGATCATCGGCAACGCCAATTACCTGTGCCAGGACAATGGTAATCAATTGCTCATCTCCTCTTTTTTTTTCTTTCTTATTTTCTCGCCATCAACTTGAAAAAAAAAAAAAAAAAAACATCTACGAAATTTTGTCCCCGTTGAAGAAAAAAAAAGGAATTCCCCGTTGCTTCATGACATTATACGAGCGAGAGAGTTTGTCACGTTACAACGCACCGCGAGGACATAACACGCGTACGTAGTATTATGCACGCGCTCTTAGCAAAGATTTAACACCTCACCTCCGTGTGTACACACCTTCCTTCATACTCGAATAATACGCAAATATGGACAGAGCGAAAAGTTTAGCAGGAAAAGAGCTAAAAATCATACTGAAACGGCACCGGGGCAAGTAATGTTGTCATCGCTGCAAAGAAGAAGAAAAAAAAAAAAAAAACCCCCCCCCCCCCATTGTATCTTATTACGTCCACCTAAAGCATAAAACAAAATTTCATTAACCCAAATGGCCTGTAGAGTTGAAAAAAAAAAATCCCTTTCTGGGACTCATTTGTAATTAGGTATATAATACTATGCTCGATCGTCCAGAAAAGAAAAGAAACGGGACTCTCTGTATTGTGTTCCAGTGTTGCACATAATGTCGCACCTCCTGTACAAGGACTTTGGGCCGGTGTTGCGGGTCTGGATAACGTGCCTGCCCTTCGTGATAGTGACCGAGCCCGAGGACATCCAAGCCGTCCTGGGCAGCCCGAAGCACGCGCGCAAGGTCCTCTTTTACCGGCTGTTCGACAATTTCCTCGGCAAGGGCCTCATAACCAGCGACCTGGACACCTGGCGCGCCCACCGCAGGATCCTCCAGCCGGCGTTCCACTTGCACGTGCTCCAACAGTTTGTCGGCTCGTTCGCCGAAAGCGCCGATCGGCTAGTCGCCAAGTTGGCGCACCACCACTCCCAGGAGATCGACATCACCAAGTTCGTCAACGACACCGTTTACGAGATACTCAACGGTACGTCGACCAAGGGGATGTCGTGTTAATACGAGAATATGAGATAATCTTTTTTTTTTTTTTTTTTTTTTCACCGCAGAAACCGTCTTGGGCGTCGACATGGCCAGCATGACGATGGAAAACGGCACCGTCGATCTCGACAGTCTGCCGTTCCGAAAGTGGGTAAAACACCAGTACATACCCAACAACCAACAGATCCGCAAGCCATATTTTGTCGCATACGTTTTTTTTTTTTTTTTTTTTACGTAACGTTGTTTTGATTTTTATTAGCGGCCGAGCCACCGTATAATCGTGTTTGCCTTGTCATCGGCAAATTTGTCGTGATTTCTCATACCGCAAACATCATCATCATCATCATCATCATTTCGTGGTTTGATGTATTATAAATATGTACACACGATATCACGTAAATCGTATATGAGTCACTCGCACCACAAAAATGTATTATATATATATAAACACGATCGGTACATAGTTTCGGAGAAAAAGAAAAAAAAATCGGCAAGCCGATTTTGTTGATTTCATCGACTCTCGTTTTGAAGTATAACGATGTATTCTAGTTGTAATGCATATACACGCGATCGGATGCGCGTCCGCTTAAATACGTGCAAACAAAGTGTGTGGATGATCCCAAGGACGAACGTATGAAAAAAGATATAAATATAAATAAAGACGAAACGCGCTCTAATCAATCCATATAATTTACTATGTGAGAGCAAGGGTGAAAATTAATCGCACGACAGAATAAATGACGGTGTGTGCCGCAGGGGCCAGATGGTCGTGCCGTACCGGATGGTGCACCCTTGGCTCCTGTTCGACTGGATCTACAGCTGGACGAGCGCCGGCCGGAGGGAGAGGAAGCAACGGGAGGACCTCTCTGCGGCGTGTCGCAAGATAATCGGGGAGAGGCGCGAGGCGCGTCGATCCAACGGAGCACCGGCGAGGAAGTCGTCGCTGCTCGAGTACATGCTGGAGTTGAAGAGCCGCGAGTGGTTCGGCGACGAGGACATCGTCAACGAGTGCTGCACCTTCATGCTGGCAGGGCAGGACTCGGTGGGCACGGCCACGGCCATGAGCCTCTTTTTGCTAGCCACGCACCCGGAGTGGCAGGCCAAGTGCATCGAGGAGCTCGACGGGATATTCGAGGCCGGGGGTGACCCGCGGAGGCCACCCACAATGCACGACTTGAAGGCCATGCGGGTGCTCGAGTGTTGCATCAAGGAGGCCCTCAGGCTGTACCCGAGCGTGCCCCTCTTTGCCAGGACTCTCGGGGAGGACCTCAGACTTGGTGAGGCCAAGTTTTTTTTTTTTTTTTGGTTAATCGCGCTTTCCGAAAATTCATCCCCAAGAGGCTCCATTTCAATCGTTGTAAGTTTACCAACCGAAAGCCGTGTGCGCGTTTTTCAGGCAAGCACGTGATACCGGCCGGCTGCGGCGTGGTGGTTTTGCCGTACACGACGCACCGGCTGGCCCATCATTTCCCGGAGCCGCACGCCTTCCGGCCGGAGCGCTTTAGTCCGGAAAACTCGGAAAAGAGGCATCCCTACGCTTATTTGCCGTTCAGCGCCGGGCCGCGCAATTGCATCGGTAAGTATACAACTGACCAATCATTGGACATTTGATTTTTTTTCTCAAGTTTAATTAAAGAAACATTAATTTTCATATGGTCATTGAAATGTTTTTACTTGAATGATCACAATTTCAGGGAACAAGTTTGCGATGCTGGAGATGAAGGTGATGATAAGCGCGATACTGCGAAGGTATCATTTGGGCAGCGTCGAGGGTAAGACGGAGGTGCGGCCCAAGTTTCGGTTCACCGTCAGGGCCGCGGGTGGGCTGTGGGTCAAGATAACTCAGCGCGTCGACGCTCGGTGAGGTGTATCGCTGGACCATCATGTACAGTTGGCCGATGATAACTTACTCTCGGCAAGGGGCGATCGACCCCCTTTTTTTTTTTCTTTTACCTCTAATTTTTTTTATCTATACGTACGTGCGTGTACCGAGGCTGAGCTCGTGGTGCTTGACCGTCACTTGTTGGTTACTATAGAGTAGGCCTTGAATATAATCACGTTGCCGATAAGCATTTCGGAACTCAGCCCCATTAGGATTATCACCCATTATTGCTTCTTTTTTTTTTTTATATCCTCTTCTCCTCCAGTTCGAGGCCGAGGCTGTTAGAAAATTAATCTGTTTTTTACGAATCTATATAGTATGTATACATTGAGTTTGTGTTCTTATGGGTACGTTTTGCACCGTTTGACCATCGGAGAAATATCTCGAGAAGCTCAAATGAAAAACTTTTATCCGTAGATTCTTTGTAGCCTTTTTTTCCATGGCAAATAAAATGTATAACGTTACACCGGTGACCTGAATAAAACTTTCCGTTAGTTATATTATGACGTTCGAAAAAGAACCTAGAATATAAATGTTTCATTACTTTGTAAGTGTAGGTTAATTTTGTTCTTTTTTTTTTATTTTATAACGAATGTAGTCCTACAGATTATGTAGTAAATTGACGATGGAAAAAAAAAAAGATTTTGTAAATAAACACAAGAGCAACTGGTAAATTTTATTTCCCTCGAATTCTTATTTTTCAACACCCGTAAGACATCTCGACCAATCATCAAAGTCAACGCATAGTAGGGCTGACACGTCTACCCCTAGTGCTGTTAAGAGATTATTAAGGTATTTTTTACTCTTGAAAACGAAATCTACGAAATATTATTTTGACATAACAAAAAGAGAATGTGATACTCCAAAACGAATGACAATGCCAGACAAATGCACTACAGCGCGGGTAAGTAGAATTTAGAGGAAAATCGAAATATCAATAATAAAGGTGTATGATCATACGTCGAAAGAAATCAACTAAACAAAAAAAAAAATCATTATTCCTAATGTATTGTATTTTTTATTCGAAAAATTTTTAGGAGCATCATCTCGTTTTTTTTTTGAACACAGAAAATATGAAAAAAAATTTCATTTACAATCATAGCTGAGAAAATAAAATTGCAATCAAATCTTGGAGCAGGTTATCGTCTGGAAAAATCGCACGAAAACATCAAGTTTGATGTAACCCGGTCTCCAAGACTCTACAACCCTGTGATTTAAAAGCAAAGATCATAGTAATAGTATAAAGTATACAGACGAGAGTGCACTGACCAGTTGAAAAAAAATATCTCCGGAAATAATTGGAAGGTCCATTATATAGAGGACAGTCCCGCTCGAATACACAATACGTGACGCGTATACGCGCGAGCGTTGGCGAAGTGGAGGGACAAAATAAAAGAGCAAAGGGGAGACGACCTGTACACTATAAGTAATTCGATTGTCGATTTCGGACCGGAGCTACTTTACTGAACGAAAATCGATGGCTCGATGGAGGAGACGGATTGAAAAGGAGGGTAAGAAGAAGAGAAGCTGAAAAGAGCCGCTTTGCAGACGTATTCGCCGGCTAACTGGATAATCGAATAATAAACTGGGTCCGTCTCCTTTCGCATCCTCTTCCGATATTCGTCTCCGTCGTGGTTCCGGTGGCAAATGAATTGCTGAAGAAAAAAAAAGCTGCTCCCCTCACTTATCACGGATAATATTATCTTCTTAATGGAGCATCACGCAATGAAACATGTAGCGATGAACAGACAGTATCTTGCGCTTTTGCGATTTGCTGAACATGATACGTTTCGCCCAGATCTCCTCGACGTGTTATCATCAAGAGTAAAATTAAAAGAGATCATGGCTATTTATATGCACGTATACGTAGAACAAAATATTCCGAGATGAATTTTTTTGTTGTTTGTTCCGCGTGAAATATATGGTAATGCAGCGCTCGTTATGTCACTCAACTGTCAAGTCAAGCGGACGAGAGCGTATTTATAGGGGCTTGATGTGTATAAAGCGCAATGCACGTTCCTGTACGGAATAGAAAAACATAGCAAAACGGTGTGGCTTGGTGTCTCTCCATTTTTTGCTGTGTTTGTTTATACAATATAGCTGATTTTGGCTGTACATATACCTTGCCATGTCCTTGAATAAAGGTGTACTATTGTTGAACGCACGGATAAGATTGTTTCTTTTGCAGCTTTTAAATATGTCTTGCGTCAAATTAGTATTGCGTCTAGACTAATGTTTACTTAAGATTTAAATTTATGATAAAGTTTAAAAAAAATATTATTCTTAATTATAGTGTGTCCATCTGAGTAAATAATCGTGATCTCCAACTTCAGGTTCGCGATGCTGGCAGATCTACTTTTTTTTTTAAACTGAATAAAAGTGTGCGAAAACAAATTAATTGAATGCATAATTTAATTTCAAGTGGCAATTGTATAAATAAAAAAGTTTTTGGATACTATAAAATGGTTTTGTAAGTTTTAAAGTATTTTCATTCTTAGAAAATTTACGATGAAGTTACTCGTTTGCGCTCTCCTCGTCTCATTTGGCACTTGCGAGCGGATTTGTAAGTTGTATTATTATTATTATTGTTTTTTTTTTAATTGAGACAAAAATGAATTAAATTTAATAAACTTTTTTAGTAACGAAAAGAATGATATCACCCATCGTTGGAGGGCATAAGTTTGATATAAATGTGATACCATATCAAGTGAGAAAATTTTATATTATATTGAAAACTTAATGCCTGTGCGATACTGCTGGCATATTCTAAATTTGTTTCGTTTTGTTAACAATTTCAGGCTCAACTTGTAGCGAATGAAGAAAATGTTACTTTTTGTGGTGCATCAATTATCAATGAACGCTGGTTGCTTACAGCAGCTCATTGTTTATTGTGAGTCTGAAACATTGTGAAAAACTGTTTATATTCCAAAAATTCTAACCAGAAATACGTTTTTGTGTTATCCATGGGGTATTTAATACATTCACATTTTAGTTTGAATATTGAAATTTATCACGTGCGAACTGGCTCAGATGCCACGAGAGAAGGTGTACCGAGACGCATTGAAAGTGCCATTCCACACCCAGACTACAGCGAAGTCACTTTTGAACATGACATTGGTTTGATCAAAGTCAGCCTTGGCGTAACAATATATTACGAGAAGTAACTGTGTTACATTAAAAGTTAAATAATTGATTGCAGTTGGAAAGGAGTATTAAATTCGATGACAAACAAAGAGATATTGCATTGTCGACTACAGAACCGGAAGCTCACGATGTTTTGATAATATCCGGATATGGCAAACAATTGGTGGGTTATCAATTTGAGCGATCAACAAACAACAATTGACTAATGTTTTTTGTTCATCCGCAGCCAATGTACAAGTTTGATCGAAGAAGTATGAGGGCGGCATTGGTTCCAGTGGTAAACAAAACGGAATGTCGAAAGCACTACGCTGAAATTGATCGTCCGATTTATGATAGTACGTTTTGCGCGGGGGACGGCCATAGTGACGCTTGCGAGGGCGATTCGGGTGGTCCAGCTGTGCTGAGTGGTAAACTCGTGGGTATCGTGTCCTCAGGAGTTGGCTGCTTGAACAACTATTTTCCCGGCAAGTACACGAGAGTTGATTTTCACCTGGAATGGATCAGAAACGTCACTGGGCTAACATTTTAGTATTAAACGAAATACCTGCAATTTTTCAGACATTGAAACGTGTCACACATTTGTCGTATATATATATTTTTTTAAATAAATAAACATTAATAGACGTACATACTATCTGCTCTTTCGATTATGAGAGACTACAATGTGCTAGTCCAAGCTTCAGGATAATTTTCCGTTACCCATTAAACGCTTATGGTCGATTCTCTTTTTTGAAAGTGTTAGAAATGTAAAAGTTATTTGAGATAAGTTCGGGCTTAAATTATTGGTCGTACATCACAGTAAATAATTATGATTTAATATTGAATTTGTAAATTTAGATGATACAAATTTTAACTGAACACTTGTGTTCGACAACAAACATAATTTTCGATAAAAACTAATGACTACGTAACTATAATCTCATGTACTTCTCGCTAACAGCTGAATAAATTAAATTAATCTGAAATAATATCAAATTTGTACCTAATAGTGGGTTTAAAAATAGATTTTTATAAGTAAATATTATTGTTCAAGAAACTTAAATTTGATTGAATGGTTTAATAAAACATTAGTTAGGATTAACTAAAAAATCAATCTATGAAGAGATAAACGATAAAAACTGCTTTTAACTAAGTAGAACATTTTTTTACGTATGGTGCAGCGGATTGGCTTAAAAACTTGTCATTTTATTTACCTGTATCGATACATTTCTTACTATGGTAATTAATGTACCAGCTATACATATTACTTACGTAACAGATGTCATTTTCAAAGTGTCGTCAAGAAGTTCAAGATTTTAAATTCAAACACGCAACTATATCCTAAATAAAAGAATATAGCTGAGAATTGTGTAATTTCTTTAATCTAATGATAGAAATCGATTTAATTAAGTCCATACACCTGATGAAATTTTGGTGTTCTAATAAACATAAAATACAGTTTCGTATTGGTTTCATCAGTTATATTGAGAGAGTAAATCTAATAGTACGATGTAGACTTTGAATTTTTACTAATTTACCATTTACTCAATACTTTCAAAGAGGCGTTTCCATTTGGCTCCTCTCTTTTTTCTCTTGGACAAATCAACTCAACTTATTGATAATTTTTATGGCACAATATTGTTAAAGTTTTTCAAATGAAAAAATATGGGTCACGTACAAGAAATCTGGGGTGTGGTTGGTTGTATAATAATGTACCATAAATATGAACGGATGCTATAAATACTTTATCTTGAATTCGTAAGTCACTATGTCGAACATATTTTAATGATGTGATTTATGAGAAGTTGTCAATAAAATCAAAATCTTGACCTAAAAGATTAAATTTAAAAAAGTAAGCAATCCAAGACCGGCTTTATTTGGATTCATTATCATAATTTGACATTGTGAAGGATAAGAGAATTCCTCTTAAGAGCGGACTGTGGAACATATCAGGAAAAAAAAAAAAAAAAAAAAAAAAATTGATAAGTACAAGTGTTGAATCAATGCGATGAGAAAAAAAGTACATATTTAAAATGTATAATTGAAATCTAAGCATAAGCAACAATATTGATGTACTACAGTTGATAAAAATTTATATTTGATTTATTTCATACGTACGATCTCAATCGACAATAGTGACGAGATAAGTAACGACATGTGTAGAATGTAACAAGACATGACTTGTCTCATACGTGTAAATGTAATGTAAATTTGTCGTCGGATCCATATGGTTGTAATACAATACATTAGTCGATACAGTTGTGGTTTTTCACTAAAGTTGTAAATAACGATTAATAATTTTTTGGTAAAATTTTACGGCAATTCATTAATCTCGAAGTAAGCACCCACACTCTTCGTACATTTAATTTTTCACTGATCTCACAATCAGTGACAGATACCATGAGCGAAACTCTGAAAGCGTGTGTGCAGGGTATCGCTTTATTACCAACCTCGGAGAGAAAAAAAGGGAAAACGGGGTACCTCGCAACAGTTGAAAGAAAGCTTTCAACAGATCAATCAATAATACATATGTTGACACAAAGACAGCCGTGGGCACATAAAATCCAATACAGCTCTCGGTTGGCAACTTGCTGGCTCAATCAAGAGCACTTTGTTCAAAACTCTGCGACACCCATTACGCATAATATACAGTGACGTGTGTACGTACACATCGCAGCACAACTAGCACGGAAGACATAATGTATATAGGCCCTCAGAATCAAGATAACAAAAACCGCGAGTAAGTACAGAGGACGGGGGATAAACTGCGAGAGCTTGCGACACGCGTGTGTACGTATATATGCAGGAGGCGAGAGATCACGGAGGGCAAGAGAGAGAGAGAGCGGGGGGGGGGCGAGTGAGTGATTGCGAAGCGCGATAGGGGCAGGGTGAGCAGCCCCTCTAGCAACGCATATACAAACCCGAAGCTCGAAATATATAGCTAGGATTGAAAGCAGCGCGCATGGCAGGGAGGAGGGGGGGGGGTTGAAAATAAGCGCCGGCTCGCCGGTAGGGGGTGCTCGTGATTTCGCGCCACCGGCGGCTGTACGTGCCCCCAAACCAGTGGATGCTGCGACGCGGAGGAGGTGTCTTCTTCCGTACAGGATCAGTAGATCGCGCCTGCGTGCCCTCCGTGCTTCGCGCGCGCCAGAGGTCCTTCACTCCCTTCGGCGATCTCGCGTCAGTTTTCCACCGAAAACGCGCGCGAGCCGTTCCAAGGGGGGAAGCTTCTCGCGCTGGTCCAACTTGGTCTACTTTTAACTCGCGGCTCAAGGATGCCGGTGCTCTCGCGGCTGGGGCCCCGGTGAGCATCGAATTTTCCTCGAGGCCGGTGGTGCATCGTTGCTGTTGTTTTTGTTGTTGCTGTCGACCACGGCCCCCCTACCACTGAGACATCACTCACGAAGCGAAGATGCGAGCCGCACTCCCGAGGACCAACAATGTGAGTACTCTTGTCACGCAACCCCCGGGGGGGAACCTTATGTATTGTATGGACGACAAAAGTTTGTATGATCAATATCCGTCAGTTGCATGCAGTATTGACGGATGAGTGTAGGATAATGCCTTTCGGTTATTTTTTCCTCTCTGCTGTGTGTGGTGGCGTTTTGGGTGTTTTACAAAATCAATGGACAGCGCGACAACACCGGGAGTTTTCCGTATCAGCACGAGGCCGCGTGTTTCGGGGCTCTCGTCCGGGAACTATCCATGAACAATTCAATCGCAGTCCGATAAAAGAGAGCTCTGGAAAAAAAAACAGCGTGCACACTCGATACGAGCAACAATGTTCCTGGGGCGCTGATTTATCCGCTCGACGCGACTGTTTTTTTTTTTTTTTTTCTTTATCTGCCAAGGGTTCCTTCCTCGCGCTTTTATGATGCTTCGTTTCCATGTACTTCCCTCCGACGCGGGACGTTGCATCAAACACGCGAGGCCAATAAAAAGCGAGCGATACGATTGCTCGTCAAACTTTGCCGAAAAAGAAAAGAGAGAAATTCGGACAATGCCCCTGTAATATTGAACAAAGCCGCAAAGAATGGCACCCGCACGTGGGCATCCTTCCCCTCTCGCCAATAGCAGCCGGGGGAGGGGGGTGGTTTGAAAGTTCGGTCCCGTGGAAATTTATACACCCCGGCACTCTCGGGCCGTATTCAAAGTTAATCCGGGGGCAGATGCTTGCCGGGGCGCTAACGAGCATAATCGAATTGCCGATGGGCTAAAAATAAACCAAGGGTCGATATCCTCTTTTCTCTTCCTGATTTATCACGGGACAATGGACCCTCCGCGCGAGAGGAGAAACAACAGTGGAACCCCGACTTTACTCTGTGGTTGCTGTTGTTGCTGTTGTGGGGGGCAAAAAAAGAAAAAAAAAAAAGAAAAAAACAAGGAGTAGGTAATGAGAAAAAATTGATCCTCCGCGAGAAATGCAAAATAACGAAGGTAGCTGCGAGGGAAGAGAGAAGAACAAAAAAAAAAAAAAATGATAATAACGAGCCTCGTGCTTCCGTGTTTTTCCCCATAGAGCACGACTACGAGGTCTCTCTCTCTCTCTCTCACGGAGCGTGGAGCACGAAATTGACGTGTTCTTGCCTCGCGCACGGATTGTCACTCGTTTGCGCTCGCCACTTTTTCCACGCTCACCCGCATCCCTCGCTGGTCCTTCACCTGCCTACTTCTCTCATTCCGTTCTCGTTGCCGTGGCCGCTTGCTCTCGTGTACATACTTATACCCTACCTATATACACCACCACGACCATGGCGCTGCCGTCCGTAATTATTCTCTCGAGATTCTAGCTCACGTTTCCGCGCTATCGCATGCAGGGGCTCGCGCGCCACTGTCTCTATACATATAGTGTACCAAAAGTACAAGACTTTCATACGAGGGGGAACACGTGCAATGGCTCTTGCTCTCTTTCTTTCTTTCCCTCGTTTCCCCCCCCCCCCCTTCCACGCGACTCCGCAATTATCGCCTTTGTATTTAAATGAGGGCTCTCGCCTGCCGTCTGATGACTCTCGATTTTTCTTTTTTTCCCCCCAAATTTGCCAAACCCACCGCTACTCGTTTCTTACTCCTGTTTCGGGTGCACCACCAAAAAGCCTCATGTGCTTTTCTCCCCCCTTCTATTGAAAAAAATTGGTATACGTTCGTCGATTAATTTGTATTACGCGGAAAACTCGCGATGACCACCCGAGCGCGTAGTGATAATGTAAGCGTAATTTCGCTGGCGTGAAAGTTGATTGAATTATTGTTTAATTACTTCCCCCTCCCCCCCACGTCTTTGTCGTTCGTAAAGTGGAAGCGGCACACTCTTGTATTATATTCCCTTTGAGCCCAGGCACGAGAGCGAGCTAATTGGAGCGCCAAGCTTTTGCGACTCATCAAACATTGTTGAGTCGCAAAAACAATTATGTGCGAAAAAAAAGGTGCCTAGGGGAGTAATTCTTAACGTCACAAAGTATTTTGCGCAGCTTAGCATTTGCCGCGTGTGTGGCCACGGAGGAAAAAATTACTGGGTGGGGGAGGCGCGATTCACCCGTACGGTTGATGAGATTACTTGGTACGATTTTTCCGATACAGCGCGTATGTAGAAGCGGAAAAATAAAAGGGCGAGCGATCGAGGGGGTGTACCGCGGTGGCAGGGGGCCTCTAATAAGATTTTCCGGGGCTCTCGCGTGTATATGGTCTCGTAAAACGCGCCCGCACAAAGTTTAAAATTTTTATACGCGTGTCGCGCTTGAGACCACCCCACCCACAGCTATATAGTGTAAAGGCGCGAGGCCTGTAATTTTCCTCGACAAGTCGCGCGCCAGCTACAATTTTCAACTCATCCTGCCGTTTGCGCGGCCACCTCGATTGTGAATTGTCGCCAGCACGCGCCTACAGGGTTGCATATATACGTACGGGTATCGGAAGGCCTTTGACTCTGGCTGGAGCGTTAATTTTTAAAGCAAATTCACCTTTTTTCATATCAACTGGAGGGTTTTTTTCGTTGAATTGTCAACACCGTCTCTACAATCTTCGAAAGTACTGAAATTGAATGTGGGTGTTTATCTGTATGGATCACACTTCGTACGTACAGTAAAAACATACAACCCCTTGGAGGAAAAAAAATGCGGAGGCCACTTTACCAATTTCATAAAAAAGCATATCCGTCGAAAACAAGCCAACTAAACCAAACAAACTCTCTTGGGTGGAAAAAAAATAAAAAAAAAATTTGACGTAGGTTACATGAAATACCAGCTCCCTCCATACACGCCAATTTCCTTAAAATCACAAACCAACGGAAGTTGAAAAGATACTAAACAAGGTTTTCCCCATATGTATATATATATATATATGCAT